ACAGGACTTCAGGAGGAGACCCGACGAGAGGGGCAAGGTTCAATTGCACACGACGGGTAGGTGATCATCTGGAGTGGCGCCCGTGCTAGCACCAAGGACAAGAGGGGCGTACACGGTGTGGGCATAGCGATCAAGGAGGCCATGTGGGAGAGTGTGGGCGAGGAAGGTAGGATGGTGGACTGCATTAGCCCGAGGCTGATGATGGTGCGTCTACAAATTGGCCGCACCTGCGGACAGTTTCCGTGAGGGCGTACCCCACCACGAAAGCTACTCCGCAGGTGCGGCCAATTTGTAGACGCACCATCATCAGCCCCGGGCTAATGCACTCCACCATCCTACCTTCCTCGCCCACACTCTCCCACATGGCCTCCTTGATCGCTATGCCCACACCGTGTACGCCCCTCTTGTCCTTGGTGCTAGCACGGGCGCCACTCCAGATGATCACGTACCCGTCGTGTGCAATTGAACCTTGCCCCTCTCGTCGGGTCTCCTCCTGAAGTCCTGTCACATCACAGCCGGTCACGGAACAAATCTGCATGACCGTCATCACGTTGTGACAGATTGGGTTTCTACAGCGGTAGGCGAGCGTGCGTACGTTGAACGTGCCGAACGATAGGTTGCCTTCTCGTGCCTTCATTTTCGCAGCCGCCTTTACGGCCGCTGCCGTCTCGTGTCTCTCTCGGTCCGCCTGGCGATGCGGGTATGGTTTCTTCGGTATTTTCCGAGCGGCGAGTTTCCTCGCATCAAATCATCTCTGCAGAGCTCGGTTTTTGCCTGTGGTGTTTTGACGAGGAGGGTGCAGCACTCCCTCCGCGCGGTGCCCGCGGTTGTCTCCCTTCTCCCGCGAGCACATGTGTGTACGTTGTATACATCGTCTATACGCGCATAATACAAATACTTCTAGACTAGTCTAAGTACTGGGCTTGCAGTATACAAGCACCCTGGACCCTTCACGCAACCACCCCTATCTAATCTTGATACGTGTACCGAGTGTTGTTGTTGTTGTTGTTGTCTTCACATTAAAAAACCGTTCCGATCTCTCTCTACCCAGTACCTTCGTATGTCCGTACTGATCCAACACTCGACGCGGTCGATTCCCGTAGTCGCAGGCTAACTCTAACTTACCCTAAAAAGGTACACTCGAACATAATGGCCCCGAGGGGTCCGCACGTTAATAGAAATCAACGACAGATATTCGAAGTCCTCCTCCCTCTGCGCGCTATGCGAGGTAACAACTGAGACAGTGTATGGATACCTGTTGTTCCCCCTCGGACGCTCTCTTGTTCACTAAATCCTGCAGCAGCGATGACCTCCTTCGCTTTTCCGACATCTTCGTCTCTCCTCATTCGCTGTGNCTCTCTCTCTCTCTCTCTCTCTCTCTCTCTCTCTCTCTCTCTCTCTTGTTCTCTCTCTGTCTCTCGCTTTCTTCTCGTTCTCTCCCTCTGCCCTCTCTGCCGCGCGGCGTCCCTGTGAGATTACACACCCAACGAACCCCCCAACAAACGAAAGATCGAGCACGGATCCGGATCTTGGAGGGAAATGTAACGCCCGCCGCCCGCCGTTTCGTTCAACATTATTGACTCATTTCCAGAAACAAACGCAAACCACACAGCAGCAGGACACTGTACAGTACCTGGTACGTATCAACAGGGGGTTCCCGAGACAGCACTCCGAAGGGGATATGCCTTATTAGCGTTTCGACTTTATGCTGAAGGTTCAGTGACGCCTCCCGGAAAACAGACGTGGTCGTCCACACTATACACGGTACCTATCAGGTTGCTGTGGTGGTCGGCGGCGCAAAGTTGAAATTCCGCTGCACACACGCATCAGCAATCAGCAACGGAACAATAATATTTGGAGACGACACACATGAGCAGCAAAAAATATACGGGTTGCCTTCCAACCAATTCTGGACAAGGCTAGCACACACACGCCGGCGGTGGCGGCCCACGCGTCACAGACGACGGCAAGAGGCAATCACAACCATAAACGGTGAACGTCGAGAGTCGATAGACTACTATACTGCAGTCGGACAAGGATGGAGCGCCATGCTTCCCAGGAGGAGATAGTTGCGGCCGCGGCCGAAGAGCAGGCAGTGATGGCGATACACCAACAGAGGCTACAAATGGCCAAGGCCTTACTGAACAAACACAACCCGAGTTGGTTTGCGGACGTGGAGGGGCACGTCAAGACTACGACCGATGAGGCACGCGAAGAAGACGTCAAGCACAGCGCCGCTGCTGCGGCTGCGAAGCAAAGAGCGGCTGCCATGGCGCTGTTGAAAGAGCACAACGCAGATTGGTTCGGAGATGATAAGGAGGCGAAGAAACAAAGGTCATTTTGTGAGTCATGATAAATTCTGTTGTGTCTAAGGTGGACCAGTACAGTGCTACCACAGAGAAGTACGTGCGCCGTTCCTTCATTCCAGTTCGTAGATCCGAGGTCTTCGATGTACAGGTGGGTGCCCTGCATTTTCTCTATCACAGGAAGCCACTCGTGAGGTGATATTTGTGAACGATAACGGTAAACCTGAACAAGAAAAAAAATGGTCCGCCCGTCCTACATGTCTATGCACTGGTATGTCCACAGATATAGCCTTCAGCAGTAGATAGATAGATCAGATGCTTCGCGTACGCACGTAGATGGTGTACTGCTGTTGTAGACCAGTCCTGCTGCTCGCAGCTGATGTCTGTCTGTGCAAGTGATGTCTCTTGTGTCTGTGATGGAACTCGCTGACTTGGTTGACATGCTTCTTCGTACTCCACATCACACGCGATTGAGCGATTGAGGAGGGCGTACTCACGGTTATCCAAAAAAAGCCGGTTTCCGGCGGTCCACACTCTATTTTTGAGTGAAAGTCTCATGAAACCTTCACATCTTCAGTCATGCAAAAATGTACTTGCTAGTCCAAAGACAAGAGGGAAGCGGCTGAAGAATCCTTCTCTGGAATATAATGAATCGTTGCTTTGCTTCTAACCACAAGTTGCAAAATGCGTCCCAGCATTTGCCTGCTTCCAGGTACTGCACTCACTGCCTTTCGCGGTGCTCTGATTGTGCTACATTTGATGGCATCGGCTTTGGACATGCATACATGGGCCAGAGTTCATTCATGTGTAACGGTGTGAGTCTACTGCTGTAGGCAGGTACCGTCCATCATGGAACTACAGCACATAGATAGTCTATTCTTCTCGGATACTCGGGCAAAGCGAGAGTGCGAGGATGAAGAATCTAGACTATTTAGAGCAGTTGGCGTCGCCAGCCGGACGGTATTTGTTTGGCCGCATTTTTATTCGGTACTGCTGTAGTCTCCCCCTTCTGTACGCTGTACGTTGAAGTTGTGTGGTGTAGATCATGTTGGACAAGGTGGTGCTGGTGGATAGGAAGAGTGGGAGAGGGGCTCGTGCGCCCCTGCTCTCACTTACTACAATACTAATTACTCGTAGTCGGTTCTGTATGCCTTTGGGTTTGTCCCATGGTAAACATATTGTTGTGGTACTGTAGGTCGCTGCACATCACGAAGGGTGCTGCTGTAAAACATACTTCGACGTATGCATAGCAAGACAACACAGTTGGTTCACCTCACTCTGCTCTTCTACTGCTCTACTGCCGCTGCTGCTGTCCATCCTGTTGTGATGAGAGAGTCGACGACGACGATGAAAAGCAGAATAGTAAGGGTTTCACACACATGGTAGCGTACCTACCTCGTGCAGCATGCAGTGATATCTCCCTGTACAGGCTCAACAAAAAACAGCGCTTTGTTTGGTGATCTTTGTATCGTGCTATTTATTGGAGGACCAATCGCCGTTCTCTGTTGCTTGGCAGCTGTTACTTGGCCGCCGTTTGGAGCACACAACAAAAAAACGCTCTACAACGTGCCTTGTTATAAAATTGCAGGCAATTTACGGATGTTACTGCTGTAACTCGCAGTTTTGTTTTTTGTCGTTTCCGAACTACAGTAGTTGAGCAGTACTTTCGTAAAAGGGCCGTGCAGCACGTGGCACCACACGCAGTGTGTTGATCGAATATCTCGAACATATTGCCACTGAGGGGGGATTAGAAATTTACCTTGTTCTGCCGCCGGATTTTCGATATGAAGGATTAAGATAATTGTGTTCGGAAAGCTTATCGATTCTGACCGGATCTACCTCGAACGGGTGGTGTAGTCTCTCTGTGAGATTATGTATACTTTATAAAACAAAAAATGGCTGTAGCAAGCAGTAGTGCGTGTACCGTGCTGCTGACTGTAGCGTGCGGTGTGTGTATCTTCCCATGCGATTATTATTGTTCCGATCGCCCCACCCTTGCCCGACCGGGTCTGTGTCTCAAAAGCCGATCTCGACCTATCTGCATGTATGGCGCACGTCTCGCGACATCTCGAAAATCGTGGCTCCTCGCCAAGATTCATCAATTTCCTCATGCAGAAGAAGCAACGACTCTCGTATTAGATAATGAATCTATGCTATCTACTGATAGTGTAACTACAGAACGCGCCACCACTTAAGAACTTAGCAGTTAAGTACTTGAGCCTCAAACAATCCAAAAATCTAAGAACTTGGCCATAATAAGAAGATGTGCTCAGTTCCGACGTGGTATTAAGAACAAGAACCCGCCCTTATGGTGTTTCAATGCGCATACAGATAAGAACGGAGCCCCAAAACGCGGCGGCCGCAAGATAACAACGCAGGAGGTTGGGATGACCCAAACAGCAGTTAGTTTCGGATTCGAGGCGGGGGGAGGAGAGGGCCTCGTGATAACATGCTTGTACGCGCGGAGGGTGAGAGCGTATTCTCTCTCATGGTTCGCATGCCTTAGCGGTTAGACCGTTGACCACACGTCCTCGAGAGGATGCATCAATGTTCCAACAGGACTGATCACCGATGCCCATCGTTCCTTCCCACTTGGAAATACTTTGCCAAAGGTGGCTGAAAAATGTTCTCCCTAGCCGATCTACCCTATCGATATCGCTTCCCGCCCTTTCAACCCACTTCCTATGCCTCAGTACAGCTACCATCTTCTCATGGCTATTACGTCAAACATCTTTCTGCACCTTTTCCTTCTACTTTTTACCGAGCTAGCTCAGTCATGTACATTCCACACTCCTTGTGCGACGGACATCCCGCGAGTATATTAACATGGTCTTCGCTCCCGGAGCCGCACTCACATCCGGTTTGCCGTGTTCATCGTCTACCTTCCTGAATCTTCGCCTACGTTCTCAATGGCCTTATCCCCAGCCCTAAGTTTGACCTTCAGCTTTGTCTCTGCATCCTTAGCCCATGTAGGCACTCCGTAAATTTATTCCTTCTTTAAAATTCCGTACACATCAAGACCCTCCTTATCCTTGGTTTCTTTGGTTAGATTCTGTCCTTCTCTCTCGGAAAAAGCAACAGTTATCTTCTCCTTGAACCCCTCTTGACACCCCCTCTCCAGTGCATCACCTTTGCCAATTTCGAGCCCCTTCCATGCGTCATCTACAACATGAACTCACTCCGTAGGTCGGTACACCAGTTATTCTTGTCTGCCCACTTCTCCTCCTAAGCTATTCTCGGCAAACTCTCCTCTCCCATACCTTGCATCGGCACTGCCATCCAGAGGAAGATTTTATGGCTACATTGTACTCTTACCGCAGTAGTGACTTGTGATTAAATCCACCCAGAAAGACCTGCTGTGTCCTCTGCATAGGGCAATCGGTTTAGAAATAAGAACAAGAACCCCGTTGATCACATGGATACCTGCTCCAAATAACAACTTGGAAAATAAGAACATGTGCTCGGTTGGAGGTAATCAATAAGCGTCGAGCCTCAGGCTAAATAATCAGCGATTCTTAGGCGGTGGCGCGTTCTGTAGTCTAATACGACGAGTGATGTCATGGTATTGTCAACCCTCATGTATGTGTGGTCTAATCTATCTATTTCTAATGTTTTAGCCTTTCGGCTCTCCTCCTCCCAGCTGTGTTAGTGATCTCCGGGGACGGACCCCTCGCCATTAGGCTGAAGGTAATTCTGTAAATGGTGTTTCTGCAAGTGATCCAGCTGGGATTCGAACCAATGCGTGTATCCTTCGTTGTGTAAGGTGCTACCCAGTAGACTACACGGTCAGCGTGGTTCGCCTTTATCGAATCTCTCTCTCTCTCTCTCTCTCTCTCTCTCTCTCTCTCTCTCTTTTGTGTNCTCTCTCTCTCTCTCTCTCTCTCTCTCTCTCTCTCTCTCTCTTGGTTTCGCCCGTCCCGACAGCGGTTTTCCCGCCAACGTGCTGTGCGACAACTCAGAGTCCTGTGCACAGATCCTACCGACGACGCCAGTGTACTGAGATTTGACCCCTTCCTTCAATATCAATCACCTTTGAGGCCTGTCGAACTGTCCGACCACAGGTGCAGTTGTTGCTTCCCGTTGTTCTCTTTCTCTTGATTAATGCTTTCCAAGCCAACTCACAAGATCCCAAGCACACACGATCACCGGATCGTCTGCACACTGAACGGAAGGGCACATGCCTCGGCATAAAGCCCTAGTCTAGCATGACTTCACGTCCTAGCATCTGACGACGCCAAATAACCATGGTCAACCACGATCACATGTCTACCTCCAAATACCATAACAGCATTAAAAAAATATATATATCAAATTTGTATCCGGGACTTCTATCTATGGAAAATTGAACTCGTCGTGTTACATGCATGAAGCAATCAACGGGGGCGGGAGTATTTGTTTCCGGCACCGCAATCGATCATGCAAGTATGTATGCACGCACAGTACGTACACAACATCGCAGGAGTAGCCAGAAGCTCCCCAGCATCTCAAGAAGAACGAAGGTCTCGCTCGCCTATCTATGCATGCATCTTGTGCGATATTTCGGGTGCCATGAGGGTTTGTTGGGTGCTGTACATGCTTCGTTTTTTCTGTATACCGATTGCTCGTGGGCGAGGAGGCTGGTCTGATTTGAGCAGGGGGGCTCTCTCTATCACTGCTTAAAAAACCTCTGTTGTTCTCGGCCTCCTGCGCTTTCTGGTTGTGTCCTCACGCACGTTGGTTTGTGTGCTCTCGTGCCGTTGCTGCCGCTACTGCTATACAGTACGTGTGTGACTACTCTCGATCTCCGCTGTGTCAATGCAAAGGGTGTGCCCAACGGTTGGTTGTGTTCATTGTGTCGTTCGTATAGTAAATAAATGAAGAAATAGATATATATGTAAACGAAGTGAGTTGCCAACGCTATACCTTTATGTATCCTGTGGTTATTGCAAATAGGCATATAATACGACGAAGAAAGCTCCTAAGGTGTTCCGATGTGCAACATACGGCAGATATTGCGAGCTTATGCGACCATCTTCTTCATCGGCCCGCCGGCTTCCTGTTGTCTCTCTTTGTGCCTTCTTTCTTGTCGAACAGATCCATGTTTTGGAAAAAAATAGTCCGTCTCTGTGTCAGCTTGTGGCAGCCTCAACCGCATCGTCATCAGCAGCATTTCGCGATACTCATATGTAGCCATCTACAGACAGACCGCTTTGCGATGCAAGCAATGCGGTGGCATGAAGCTGACGCCCAGTAGAGCGTAACATACCTTCGTTGACCGAGATCTACCCTAAGTTGAGAGAGGAAGAGTTTCATGGACGTGGAATTCTTTCTTTGCCTCGGCCAATAGCATCGTTTTCGGCTTTCCTGCATCAGACTGGAGTATTCAATCACACATTACTCGCTGAATTCGCAGCGTATCGGTGCGAGATCAAGATTTTCCAACCCGCCAGATCATGGCCGACAATCGGAACTATCGCTCGCTGTCTGGGATGCCCTGTGTCTCTTGTGGTCATGTTGCGAATCACTGCAACGGAAAATTCAGGCCTTTCGGGTCATCCAATCAATATTGTTTGCAATTTTTATTTTCGATGCATGACCATGGATGGGCGTATGAGCGTGGCTGATAAGAGCCAACTCGAATCGAGCCAACTCGAATCTCCGATCGGAATCGAATTCGACTTCGATGATAAAATTGGAGTTCTCCGGTGACAAGATCCATCCTAAGAATCCCAGCATCGGGCAAAACTAGCGGTCCTCAAGTGCTTTTGTAGAAAATTGAACGAAAAACATGAAAGACAGACAACCCGTTCGAGATAATACCGCAGTCGAAGGTCATGTGTTTGAAGTCTTTGCGGCGAGTGAGCAGAAAACCGGCTGGGCACGAGGCTTATTTTGAGTCTATTGAAAGCTTATATCGAATTTTTATCGGCGAGGCCAGCTGGTGGTAATCACGATCACCTTCTTTTGCGGCCGACTCAATGGAAGTAACCCTATAACCCAAACCCCAAGCACGTAGTACTTTTCTACGCCAAACGCCGAAGGAATCAACATCAATCTTCAACTCGATCATTGTTCTTCTCTCAGCCTCTTTCCTGGTAGTTCTGCGCAACGCTCATCTGTTTGGCAACGCACTACTGCTGCTGTTGCTGCTGCTGCTGATTTTTACCCTGCAGTTCGCCGGGTCAAGGATTCTCGGAAAATGAGAAAAAAAGACGGCCTCACGTCGCGAGCGCGCACAAGCAGTGCACAAGCGGAAAAATCTCAAGAGAAGGCAGTGCTACAAGGAACGTTCGCGAGATTGACTCGAGGGACGTCCTCAGGACGAATTCGCAGCGAGTCGCCTCCGTCCTTGATCGTACGAAATGCTCACCCTCTTGGTCGGAAATCATCATGGGGGGAACATCAGGTGCCGTGCCACCCTCGTATGATTTTGAGCGCTCCTCCTGTTGATCTCTCTCGTGATGTTGTTCTCATTTACCGAATAACACCCGGGCTCCCAACTCTCCACAACTGAAGCTAGTAGCACGTGGCATGAGCTACAATTCCAAGCACCTAGACAGCAGTAGCCAGATTGGTCGTGCAACTGTTGTAAGGTACAAACACAAATTATTCCGTTTCCGTCGTCATCTACTGAAGTATCTATCGCTTCAAACCAAACGTTGCTCTACTAGGTAGCGCTAGGCTCGGCATCTTCGGGACGATCGGAGGGATACAGAAAAAAGCCATGGTTTTCGCGACACTCTCGAAGCCCAAGCCAACAGCTTTCCTCGAACCCAACCAGTCCGGTCGGAATGATCCACGGACAGATCACGCCAAGGTCTTGCACGACGCCCGTTCCTCAGCCGTCGTTGATGGAGATCCTCGAAAACACCGCCGAGGAACCCATGTCCCTGCGGTCCATGCTGCGCTTCGCTAGAGAAAACGTGAGTGGTAGATAAAACTTCCATGTCGGTGTTATCGTGAAGGGCTCGTTGGTTTAAGATGTTCTAGAAAATGAGTAGCGGGTCGAATCGCTCTGTTTCGCGGCAGTGACTTGGAACTACTGAAACCTTTCGTTGGTTGGGTATTGCGTGTAGAGGGTAGATGCAGATCGCGAGAGTCGGCGGACGCACGAAGACCGTCGGAGCACTACTACTAGCGTCCTGGGTTAGCAATACCAGCGTTTGGTACTCTGTTGATGCACGTCCACAACATTTTGAACAATAGCATTGCTTTGAGGCGGTTCAATTGTGTTCGTCAGTGTGATAGATTTGCAGGACTTGCAAAGCTACTTGCAAAGCTACCATCCCCCAGTTGAATGTTGCCGAAACTCTTTTTTATCTGGAACTTTCAGAGTTTAGAGAAGGATATTTTGGAGGCACTGACTGCGATGAACTGTAGGGACTTACGTTCTGCTTCCCGTGGGGGTGTCCTGTTGTGCGCTTTTGCTGCCGTCGTCTGGTGTCAACCGGTTCCTTTCGATCAGCTGATGGAAGAGAATGTTCTGTTTTACCTTGAGGTGGTCTCGTTTAAAACGGGTGGCGGCGGGCGGTGCGAGTACCTCACAAACATCAAGCGGATCCACGAGCTCTACATCCAGCACAACAGCAAGAGGGAGATCAACATCAGCGGCCAAATGCGCTTGAACACAATGGCCACCGTGGAAGCTATCTTGAGGGCAGACGGCCAAAGCAGCGGTGGCAGCGCAGACTCTCCCGGCAATGTCGAGCTGCGGGCTGCAGGCGACGAGGTAGAGAGACAGCCAGCGGAGACTAACGTAGTCGAAGCGGGGGGGGGCGGATGCTTTGAAGCCGCAACACCAGCAGCAGAGACACCGGCAGCAACAGGGAGCGAGGCAGGGGGGGGCAGACCCCTTGAGAAAGCCGCAGCAGCAACAGAAGCAGCAAAATCAGTCGGAGTGGAGGATGTCGATGTCGCAACAGTACCAAAGTTCGGTCATGCGGACGGTGAAGAAGCAGGGGTAAGTGTTGCAGAAGCAGTCATAGCTGACGAGGGCCAGGAGGGCTCGCGAGCTCCCGGTTCACTCCCTCTACTCGACTCAGTTCCAACCCAATTGCCGACCCACAAGGCCATCGTTAGCGGCAACAGCAGCAGCAGCGGCAGTCCCGCGACAGAGAGTGTGACCCCGGCTGCTGTCGAGGAAGAAACAGAGAGAGACGCCGCTGACAATGCCGCTTCCGCCGGAAGATTCACGGTACTGGGCAAGTGTCGGTCAGATTCACCCTCATCCAAGGAGATCAGCAGCAGCAGCAGCAGTGGCAGCAGGGACGGCAAGCAAGACGGTGAAATGGAGGAAGAAATTAGGCTACGACGGGATTCCACCATGTGGGACGATCGCTGTTTGCATAGCGCCGACCTCGCGGCGGAGGACGACTTCAATGCGAGCGTAGAAATTGAACTGCTGGGGCTCGGGATAGGGCCCGGGGGTGGCTACGGCGACCGAACAATCTTCGACTCGGCGCTCCTTGAGGCGAGTGCACACCTTCAGGCCGGTCTGGTTGCCGGTGTTCGTGCAATCGGTAATAAATGCTCTTTCGCCGTACCAAGTTCTCATGTAGTGGCACCCGCTGCACGATTACTGTTTGTTGCTTCTCGTGAACATCTTGCACACGTCTGCAAGATGCTCTATACAGTATCTGCTATACCGCTGGACGTTACGATACTCTTCCCCTTCTCCGACGAGACCACCCCGATAGGATCCCATTGCGTCCCGTAAACCTCGGAAAACGTTGCCCCGCACGCCCATCTCGATTCTACAACCCTTTTCTTCCTCCTGCCCGCTGACTTGAGTATTTTGACTTCCCCAACTACACTCGAAACACAGATCTTCGTCATACTTCGTCATCAAGTTTACCCGAAGTTCGTGGCGCGGGTGTCTAAAAGTAGCACCTGCCAATCCTCAACGTCATCGACAACCGTCCATACCGCAACGTTATCGACGGCTTCTGTACCACCAACAACACTGGGAACCCCTGTCAAGCCCATCGAAGCGAGCAGGGTTTCGTTGTCGCAGTCGGAGGAGGTTGCAAAGGCGGTGAGGGCTGAGCTTGCGAAATGCTACTTCTGACGTACCGGTCGGCAAGCTGTAAGATATACTCCCGCTCCTGGGTGAGTGGCTAAAAGTCACTCGATACTTGCCGGGGTTGTGTGCAGAGCGGGATACAGCCACTAGCACTTGCTGAGTGTGGCCAATGTGAATTATCGTGTTTGCTCTTTCGCCGTCGGACTATTGGCGAAGAGACCTCGGTTTTTGGTAGACTACCCACTACCCACTACCCTATCTCGCAAGGACGCAGGCCTGAAGCGGGCCTGAAGCGGGCCCCAGCGGGTGTGTTGTTCGATGGCGACCTACCGAAGACCGAGTATTTCCGGCGATTCCTTGGCACTCATATTGCTTCAACGTTGTATTGGGAGTGGGAGGTTGCTTTACACAATTGTGATACACTGGCTAAACCAAAGTTGCATGCACCAGAGGTTCCTGCAGAGTTTTTCTGTTCGTTCATAATGCGGCCGCCGTATGCACCACTTGGTGGTTGCTTGCCGGCTGCGCCCGGGACAAGCTGCCGCTATTGCTTTCTACGTGATCAATATGTCTAATGTGCTGATGATACCGTCGACGCATGCGCTGTTCCTTTGTTTTTTCGCTTTTTCTTGCTCCATGCGTGTACAACATGAACGGAAAAACGACGTATCCTTGCGACAACAGCGAAGGTAAAGGTTGCCTTCGTTGGGCGCTTCGTCGTGACGGGTTTTGGGGTAAGCTACGGAACTGTTGCACCACGAACCAAGCGCTCACGAACCGACTATGGGCGAATGAATCCGCGGGGCGGATCATGCAGAAGCAATACCCAGCCCCCAAAACAGTTGTGGCGAGAGAGTGTACGCGATTGTACACGAGCGACGCCGACCGGAACTGTGAGCGTGGGACAGCATTGATTCGATTGACGAGGAAGCCAGACTATGTACTATGTAGCAAGCAGGTTGACTTTTCCAGCGCCGTTCAAGGGGGAGTGGGATTCGTGAGGTTAGTGTGGACAACGGACGTGAACCTACTGTAGTTGGCGAGGCCATTTCAAGGCAGTGCGAAGATGCGAAGGGACCACAATGTGTTTTTTACACGGTGCTAGTCGTTGTGGCTTGCCTGTTTATTCTTAGATGCATCAATTGTATTGGTCGGCAAGCGCGTGGGTGCCTGTTTATTCTCAAATGCATCAAATGTGACCTGTTCGGTTCGCGTGGATGCCTGTTATTCTCAGTTACATCAGTTTATATTGTTGATTCGCGTGCAGTCAACGTGTAGTTTTATCGAAAAATATGTCCATGGTTATCGGGGAAACTTTAAGTCAGCGCAGGGCGCCGTGCCCGCGCTATGCCTATACGTGTAATATTCCGGAGTTGTACTATGAACTCATGCTCCCACGTACAGAGTGTACGCCGATTGTTTTATGCGTAGTCTAGAGATGTATTTTTAATAGGTGTTGAAAGCATTTGGAGTTAAGCACCAAACTCTAGGAACCAAGCATTGGGAATCGCGTAGAGGAAAATCGGGAGCGTGGGAGGAGGGTGCCCAAAAGCGAGGTTGTAGATCTTGGCGTCGTTGCAATCGCTTAATTTACAGGCACAGACATACCCCGCAGCGGGCTAGAATCATATACTTGGAGTACAGTAGCATGATATAGTAGCATGATACATTTTTTCAAGTGTGGCAGAGAGTATTGAGTATCATATTTGCGATGCGCGAGTGAGATGAATGGGCCGTATGGGAAGATGGGCAATAGCGCAGCGTGCCGCATGGGCTCACCAGCAGTAAGCAGAACTTGTTCGCCCTCGTTGGACGACGAAAAATGATACCGACACGTGACAGGGATACCCCGCCTGGGTATGTTTTGCACTGCCGTCCCATCTAGATGACAACGTCAGTCGGAGCTCCGCAGCGTCTCGTGGCCACGAGAGCACTACAGAATATTGATGTGCCCACGATACTTCGGCATGTAAGTAACAGGCGTTTCGAACACCAGGTCTTTCTCGCTTCCCGTTCAGGAACAAGCGATTAATCTCTCTGTGGTGCCCCAAACCGTGTTAAAGTGGTAATTTTCAAGGGTCCATTTAGTATATATAGTACGTACTATTAGTACTTTCCAGTATCTTAGTAAGTATTTGGCTCACGGTACTGTACTGGGGGTTTAGTACGTACCTCCATCCTGTACTGTACTTACTATTGCGTTTAGTACAGCTCTTCATACGTACTATACGTACTATTGCGTTTAGTACAGCTCTTCATACTGTACTATACGTACTATTGCGGTTAGCACAGGTCTCAATACTTACTCTCGCCCCAGTACAGTATTTCACCAATATATTATACGTACTATTGCGTTTAGTACAGCTCTTCATACTGTACTATACGTACTATTGCGGTTAGCACAGGTCTCAATACTTACTCTCGCCCCAGTACAGTATTTCACCAAAGTACTATACGTACTATTGCGTTTAGTACAGCTCTCAATACTGTACTATACGTACTATTGCGTTTAGTACAGGTCTCAATACTATACTAAACGAATAGTACGCGTACACAACAGTACAGCAGTACTGGTTCTACCCGACTTCCACCAAAAGGCGTGTTGGTGACGTCACCCTTAGGAAAGCCGCACAGTCTCGCCAGAAAGGTCTCCTGTCTCCTCCCGCCGAGAGCTGCCAGAGCTCCAGTACCAAGTACTGGCGTACTGGTGTGCTGGGGGTACGAAGGTAGTGGCTAGCAGGGGAGGTGGCAGCCATGAGTGACGCAAGTGGTGGTTCGAACGTATCTCCCGATGCACCTGCTCCCGCGCCGGGTTCCTCACCCGCACCGGGTTCTTCACAACAAGAGGCGCAAGAAGACGTGGTGGTGGTGGCGGGCTCTACGAGTGGAGGAGGTTCGCAGCAGTCCGTGATCCCCCGGAAGC